ACAAGACCCCATCTCCAGAATAACCAGAGAAAATGGAGTAGAGGTGTGGCTCAAGCAGTAAAGTGCTTGCTTTACAAGCACAAAACTCTGAGCTCAAACCCCAGTCCCACAAAAAAAAAATCCTGGCTTTTCCAGTTTTGCAAAAAACACCATTGGGAGATCGTGATGAATCTACACATTGCTCTGTGTAATTGAAGCATTTTAGGCCTTGCAGTCCATGAACGTGGGATAGTTTACTATTTACTTATCCCACTTTCTTTTTCCAGTGATTCACTTAACATACAAACATGCAAGTGATTTTTGTAGATTAACTTTGTGTCTACTTTCCGAAATTTGCAGGTTTTTTTGTTCTGACACAGAACAAAAAAACTTTGTCCTGGCAGGATTTTTTGTGTTTCTGTATATTATCGTTAGAGTATACTATGCATGAGTAAATATTATCTAGAACGTAGGTGGTTTTACTTCTTTTATTTCTATATCTTCCTTTCCAATTTGGATGACTTTCTTTCTTTTTTTTTTTTTTTCAGTAATGGGGTTTAAATTCAGGGCCTGTACCTTGAGCCACTCCACCATCCCTTTTTTGTGATGGGTTTTTTCGAGATAGGGTCTCAAGAACTATTTACCCAGGCTGGCTTTGATCTGTGTTCCTCCTGATCTCTGCCTCCTGAGGAGCTAGGATTATAGGCGGGAGCCACTGGTGCCCTACTAGGCTTTCTTTGCTTTTCTTTTTTTTTTTAATTGCCTAATTGGTCTGGCTAGGACTTACAGTACTATATTGAATAGAAATGGCAAAACCAGGCATCCATGCCTTGTTCCTCATTTCAGAGATTTTAGTCTTTCACTGAGAATGATATTGACTGCAAATTGTTCACAAATGAAAAAATTGTGTTGAGATAATTTCCTTTATTTACTAGTTTCTTGCATGTTTTTAATCATGAAGGACTGCATACTTGAACGTGTGCTTTTCCTGCATCAATTAGTATGATCACATGGGTTTTAAATTTCACTCTGTTAACATGATGTATTACACTGATTTATTTTCCTGTGTTGACCTGTCATTGCATTTCAAGAATAATCCCATGTGGTCATGTTGTGTAATACTTTTATTATGCTGCTGAATTTTGTTTGCTAGCATTTTCTTGAGGATTTTTGCATTATCATTCATGACAGGTATTTATCTCTTGCGATGTCTTTGGCTCAGGCACCGGGGTAATATTGACCTACCTCATAGAATGAGTATTCTCTTCTCTTCAATGTTTGGAAAAGTTTGAGAAGGATTGGTATTAGTTCTTTTTTAAATACTTGGCAAAATCACTAGTGAAGTCAAAAAGTCAAGGGTTTTCTTTGTCAGAAAATTTTGATTTCTAATTCAATCTCCTTATAAGCTATTTGGATTTCCTGTTTCTTTCTGATTTCCTCTTGGGAAGTACTTTGTTCTTTTTCTAATTCCTTGTGTTAATCTGTTTTCTGTTAATATAGCAAAATGCTTGAGGCTAGGTAATTTATAAAGAAAAGAGGTTTGAAAGGCTTAACAACATGGTACCAGCTTCCACATGAGTCTGGTGAAAGCCTTATGGTGAATGGATCACAGTAACTGGAGCATGTGCAGAGGGAGATCATGGGGAGTTAGAGCACACTGGGGTGCTATGGGAGCTGTTTAATGTCTTCTGAGGACATAGTCCAGTAACATAAAGAATCCCCCCACAGACACACCTAAACCATATCCAAACTATAGTGTTTCTTAAGTTGTAAAATTGGGCTGTTGATTTGATGTCTTTCTTGCTGCTGCTGCTGTTCTGTGGTGCTAGAGATGAAAACCAAGGCCATGCATGCTAAGCATACTGTGTGACACTGAGCTGCATCCTCAGCACTCTTGTTTTGGTTTTTTTGTTTTTGTTTTTGTTTTTTTTATAGCTATAAACATCTGCTTTAACACTGAAGTTTTGGTCTTCATTTGTCTCAAAGTATTTTCTAGTTCCCCTTGTGATTTCTTCTTTGATCCATTGATTGTTTACGAGTGTGCTGTTTAATTTCCGCAAATCTCTGGGTTTTCTGGTCTGCTCTAATCAATTCCTAACATCCTGCTGTGCAGTAAGCATAGTATTTTGTATGATGTTGTCTTTTAAGACCTACTGAGACCTAACACCGTCTGTCCAGTGAGATTGCAGCCAGATGACTAAGCTGATAAGACTTAGACCTACAGTATGAAACAGCTTCTAATTTTCTTGTAGAAATTTAGAAACAAGTATGTAACTTTAGGCATCCTTCTTAATGATAGCTCATTACATTTTCAAATGATATCAGTATTTTTATGATAGTAAAAGAGGTTATCATGTATGAAGTATCGAACCTGTGGCCTTGGCTGTTCAGCTGTGATGAAAGGCCCACTCTAACCTTTTACTGAATGTGACATCTATTAAAAATGGAACTTCTCATTTCCATTTCTTAGTCAATAACACACTAAGCCATTTATTGCTGTGATGAAAGGAGGTCTCGCAAACTAGATTCTGTTCCCCAGACATCTAGTTTAATTTTAGTAACCAGGAAATAGCATTGTAACCTAGAGTCAGTCAAATCCATCTAATCCTGTACTTAGAACTTTTGTAAGATACAAGAAAAAGCCTCTAAAATTTATAAGAAGAAAACAAATTTGTAATTGTTGCTTAGGAAAGAACAAGCCCCTTATATCATTGCTTGAGTTGAACTATCAGGAGAAGACAAATTTATTCTCCCATTCACTGTTTGTGTGCTTTTAAACCTGCAGTGCGGTCTGGTGCCATGTTGGTAGGTGTGGCGAGAAGTGCCTTGCATCATTTGTGTGGTCAGGGAACAGGCCTACTGGGAAGAAGACCAAGGAGAAAACAAAGAGCTGGAAACATTGAGGCCCATCTTTTCTAGGGAACCTGGCATAGCTAATGAAATAGAATATGCATAAGAAAAGTACCCTAAGCTCAGAGCTCAGTAAATGTCTGGACCAGAAAACTCAATTGTCCAGAGTCACAAAGTTTGGAAGTAACAGACCTGGCATACAAACACAGGCCATTTGACTCCAGAGCCTGTGTTTTCAACCACTAAAATGGAAGGTTGGTGTATAGTCACAGAGTAAATCACACCGATAACCAGGAGAGGGAAGGGAAAGGCAGTCAGCTAAAAATTGCTTGATAGTCATGATAAAAGCGAGAGCACACAAGGGAGGGGTGAGGATAGGTAAGACACCTAAAAAACTAGCTAGCATTTGTTGCCCTTAACGCAGAGAAACTAAAGCAGATACCTTAAAGCAACTGAGGCCAATAGGAGAAGGGGAACAGGTACTAGAGAAAAGGTTAGATCAAAAAGAATTAACCTAGAAGGTAACACCCACGCACAGGAAATCAATGTGAGTCAATGCCCTGTATAGCTATCCTTATCTCAACCAGCAAAACCCCTTGTTCCTTCCTATTATTGCTTATACTCTCTCTACAACAAAATTAGAGATAAGGGCAAAATAGTTTCTGCTGGGTATTGAGGGGGGGAGCGGGAGGGGGCGGAGTGGGGTGGTAAGGGAGGGGGTGGGTGGGGGCAGGGGGGAGAAATGAACCAAGCCTTGTATGCACATATGAATAATAAAAGAAAAATGAAAAAAAAAATTGCTTGATAGTGTTATTCCCAATGGCTTCCCCAAAAAAAAGATGGAACAGAGATTAGGGGTGGCAGGGGGCAGAAGTCCATCTAATTCTAGGAGGCAGAGGGACGCTCAGTCTTAGGATCCTTGACCCTGTTCGGATGGAGCAGTTAATGGAAAGCTTCAAGAGGCTCCTGATTTAAGGCAGCATTCTGGGCAGATGTGCCTCTATCTAGCAGGCGGTGGAGCTCTCTGCATCCTGGTGTGCAGGGCCAGCTGCATGGCTCAGGTCTAGCTGATGGTTTTCTGAATAACAGAACCATGTCAGGCTGGAGCTGGAAGGCTCTCGGAGGTCAGCCTCCTAGCCCCTGCTTGGGAGGTGAGGAGGGCACAGCCTCTTCTCTCCAGGTTTGACCAAAAAGGCCAGCACTAGAATCAGAAACAACTTCCCACAGACAGACCCAGGGGCTAGCCAGATAGACTGGACAGCATTCTTAGGGCTTCTTTGGGACTCTGGATGAGAGCTTCTCTGTGACTGTGAGGAGGCCAAAGAGAAAGATTGTCGTCATGACCCTTGCTGTCCCCACTCTGCATGGCTGAAACACCCTGAGTAGGTTGTGCTCTTTGTGTCATCTGTGCTGTTAGTGCAGGGCCCTCAGAGTATCCTCCCAGGAGAATTGAGAGTGGTCCTAGGAAGGAGCCCTCTGGGTTGAGGGACTTTATTAACATCTGAGTTATTGAAGGTTAGGAAAGCATGTCTGCCACTTGTAGAATTAGAGGCTGAATTAGAAGTGTATATTAGTTTTACAGTTTTGTCTTTGGTTTCAAGAATTATGTATTAAACCTTCTTTGTCAAAAGCTGATTAAGGGCTTGAGGTGTGGCTCAAGTGGTGGAGCATCTGCCTAACAGGTGCAAGGCCCCTGAGTTCAAACCTCAGGATCACCACACACACACAAAAATAAGGATTATAAATAAATAAATACGTACATAAGTAAGCTCCCTAAATGGATGTCATTTCTGTCTAATGGCATGTTTTCTTTCCAAACATATTCTCTGTTGTGATTTCCTTCAAATAACTTGGATTAAGGAGTAAGCAGGTCTCTGAGGCACTTGAGTTTCATCTCAGAGTGTGGTATGCCAGGGTAGGCAGGAGCTTTCATTCCATCTGATAGCAGCGTTCCCAGCCAAACACAGTCACTCTTGCTGTAATAATTGATCACTTTATTTAACTGTGGAAAAGAAGCCTTATTAAGGTAAGAAGGCATATAACCTCATTGTACCCTGTACACAGAGAGCAAACATGTTGAAATGTGGCTGACCCATCTCAAGGCTGATTCTGGAAATGATAATGTTTAAGCACAATTGATTGTTCTCTAATTGAATTTTTTTTCTTTTTAGGCCTCTTCTGAAGAGCTGAAAGCTGCCTACCGGAGGTTGTGTATGCTTTACCACCCAGACAAGCACAGAGACCCAGAGCTCAAATCACAAGCGGAACGACAGTTTAACCTTGTTCACCAGGCTTATGAAGGTCGGTGCAGGCCTCGGCTTCACTGGACCACCCTCAGCCCACATAGTCGATTTTTAAGAGCCCTGGTTTGTAGAGGATGGAGAAAGAGTCCTTAGAGGAGTATAAAAGAGGTAGTTAGTTCAGTACTTTTTACTGACAGGGTCCTTTGAAAGGGTGGTATTCTGCTTTGAAAATCAATATGTGTCTAGTAAGTAGAAAATGAGGGTCCAGGTGAAGTAATAATGCAGCAGGGTCTGAATTGCAGGGAACTACTCAAGTTCTAAATCCTTTACCATTTTCTAAAGGGAACTTGTGGAGGGAAGAGGCTGATTGGTGCCAGGAAACCTTCTTTGTTCTCTTTTCTGCTACAGGGCATTTTTTTTCATCTGAAAGTGATTTTATTGGTTCTGTGGCATTCAGTTAAAGAAAGGTTCTAACAAAAGAGAGAAAATGATGTTAAGAAGGCTAATGAGAAATAGAACCGAGTAATTCAGAATTTTGTATCTTATGTATAACAGAAAGAAAAATTTGTGATATAATGGGAACAGTGTTTCTCTGAGATGATGAAACTGGAAATAGATAGTGGTGATGGCCACACAACATTGTGAGCGTACCTGATGCTACTAAGTCAGATGCTTTAAAATGGTAAATTTTATGTTACCTATATTTTACCACAATTTAAAAAATAAAAACTAAAATTATATTAAATCATTCCTTAATATATATCAAGTAAAATAAGTTATTCCAGAACCCTTTAGTTATCTGCTCCCTAATTAGAGACCAAAAAAATAGATAATGTGTTTCTGTACAAAATAACAAAGACTTCACACAATAGCATATGGTGTATTTCAATTTATAGTTTTACCAAGAAGTTAAGTTCTAATGACGAGTAAAAATCAGGCTGTGGTGTGTGATAAATGTGAGCAGTGGACACTTTGGACTCTATACATGATGGTTGTGACCCAAAACCTGTCTTGTTTTCATACTGCTGCCTCAATTATCCATGAGCTTGCTTGTATTGTTTGGGAGACTGGGTGACGAGCTAACAGAAAAACCTACCAGTGCTTGTGAAAATGCTGCAGCACACCTGGATCCTATGTTTGGCCTACAGGGAGATGAGAGTAAAATAGTGAATAGATACTTCCTTATTAAGTCCTAGAGATTAGCTCAAGAAATCTGGGCTCCCATGCTTTCTACTGGTCAGTTTTTCTTTCTTCCCCATTAGATTTGCCTATGAATAGACTCAAATTTACATAGTTGTTTTTTTTTTTAATTAGGCCTAAAAATATATGGGAATTCTCAGGGGAGAAAAGATGCAGAGATCCCAAGCAGAACGTGGCATAGGAAAGGAGGGAGTAACAACTGTCAGCTTCACTAATGTTCAAGCTTAGTTTGAGTAGCCTTTGAATAGCTCTCACCTTTGCTGAGGAATCTGATTCTGATGTCCTTTAGGTGATGTGGCCAACAACACTGAGGTCTTTTTAAATGGTTTACAATGCATGAGGGAAAAAGGTTATGAGACAAGGAGGAATTGGTGTAGTGTGTCCATTTTCTCCACCTTCCATCTCTGCACCTTTGACAGAGGTTCTAGCAGAGCATCCAGAGGGTCACGACCTCTGTGGTCTATCAGAATTCCTATCAAGAGGACCCTGGGGAGAATTTGCTATTTTGTTATTGTTGATTAACTTACATATCTAATAATTCTTTTGTTTTAGTTTGGGTTTTTTTGGTGGTACTGAAGTTTGAACTCAGGGCCTTACACTTGCTGGGTAGGCGCTCTGCCACTTGAACTACTCCACCAGACTGAATTTTCCATTTTCAGTGAAAACAAGTGGCAGTTACTGGTTCAGATGACCTTGTACTGTGAATCTGGATTTGCTGCACCTTTCTTTAAAACACAAACAGCTTAAGAAATGTGGATGTTTCGGTTTGTCCATTCACAAAAAAACAAATGAATAAGTAAAAAACATTAGAAATAAAGAGGACCAGTGCACCAAAACAATGTAGACTGTCTTAGAGGTTAGTAACACTCTCTAGAGTAAATAATAAATCACATTTCTCATCAGAAACAGAAATCAACTCTGTCAATCCAGTATACTGTATACACCAAGGCAGAAAAAGACCAAATTGTTTTAAAAACAGCCGTCCATTGGTGACAGCCTGCTTCGTGGTTCACCTTGTATACTTTGCCCCTACCGTTAAGAGAAGCTCAGGCTCTGGGAAAATCCAACTTTTCTCATCTGTAACCTCCTTTAAACATATCCTAGGTTGGATGGGAAAAGTAATTAGGAGGAAAGACATGAGGGAAGTGAAAATGGTCTCTAGGAGATGGACTTACCCAATGACATTGTTGCCAATGTTTTTAGAAAGAACTGATGACAGGCGGACTTCATACTTTGTGAACCTGTTTGATTTTTAATTGCAGTGCTTAGCGACCCCCAAACCAGAGCCATCTATGATATATATGGGAAGAGAGGACTGGAAATGGAAGGATGGGAGGTAAGAGAAACTGCATTTAATGTCCCTAAAAAGCCATTAACACAACTACAGAACACCCCCCCAAAATACACAACCCTATGACCTGCGGTAAAATGTTTGACACTAGAGGCCCCTTCCTTGCCTTTTATTTGAGTTTCGGAGGTTGAATTCTAGAGCTGGCCTTGTCGCTTTGAACTCTGGAACTTGGGCAAGTCCATAGTCTGGCTTGTCTTTGGCTTTGTAACCTGTGGAAAGAAGAGGAAGAAGAGTGACAGTACCAGTGATGTTTAGCCCAGTGGGCAGAGAGCTGATGGGAGATGACTGCCTCAAGGAGGCAGTTCTGCTACACATTGTCCCTTTTTTTCTCCCTCCCTCCCTTCACCATCTGTGCCTCTCTCTTCACCTTCATTAAGAATACTGCATTTAGGAAATGTTTCTGCTATGAACAAAATGGAAGCAGAAAAAAAAAATGAGTACTAGATCACATTGTTTATAATCCAGTTGTAATGCACCATGATACTAGAATTTTGTCAATATTAGGGAGCAAAACTAACTATATACAAACATCTATGAAGCAGGTTACCCTAGGCAACTGTGTGAGAACAGTCACTAAAGTTCACATGCCTGATTCTGGTAGCAGAGCTGTAAGCAAATTATTTGGTTGCTTTGTGCTTCCATGTTACCTGAAAAATAAAGATGTGAGAATCAAGTAGAAAAAGGAGCACGAAAGTTAGTTGTAAAACTTGAAATTGCTATTACTTAATTTCATTAAAGAAACTTGGTTCTAGATGGGCACAGGTGGCTCACACCTATAATCCTAGCTACTTAGGAGGCTGAGATTGGGAATATCGTGTTTTGAGACCAGCCCAGGCAAATAGATCATGACACCCCATCTCCAAAATAACCAGAGCAAAATGGACTAGAGACATGGCCTAATGGTAGAGAGCCTGCTTTGCAAGTCCAAACCCCAATCCCACAAAAAAAAAAAAAGAAAAGAAAAAACTTGATTCTAATGTCCACAAAATTTTAAAAGGCTGTTGTTAGTTAATAACATCAAATTGACTCTTGAATTAGATTTCCCTTCAAGTTCTTTTAGTGTTTAATCTCAAGCACATGTGCCTGTCTCTTCTGATTTTAGCATGGACGCCTAAAGGCCTAAGGATGTAGAGTGGAAGAGAAGCAAAATAGGTTTAAGTCTCCTTTTCCTCCTGCTTGATGTTGGTGGCCTGTGTGCCACATTCCACCTGTAGCCATGTTTTGATTGTCCCAAACAGTGAATTACGGTTGCTAACACATTTAAAGCACAAGAGGTTTTGTGTCAATAACCAGTCTTCTGTCCTCTCTTAAAGCACCAGATGATTAATGACACTGAACCTGAACTCCCCCAGGAGGCAATAATCTGTTAAGTCCTAGGAGAGCTATACCCTTTAGACTGAGCTGTGCCCTTTGTCTCAGTCCCCGCCACTCCCTATTGTGTTTTGTCAGTCCCTCCACTCCTCTACAGGCCCTGCCTGCCTCCAGTAGGCTGTTGGTTTATGGCCTGTGGTTTGATGGAAGTAGTAGTGGCTCATGCCCACATTAGTTCATGTAACTCAGTAATAAATCTAATAGCTTAGCGTTTTTTATCAAAAAAAAAATTAGAATCCTATTGTATTTATTAAATTTTTCATCACATTTTATCCATCACTTTAAAGTTCCCTTGTTTTCTATTTGGTTGTGGTTTTGTTTTTATCTACAGTTTTTATTAACATATATTAGTTGTACAGGGGTCTTTCATTACGACATTTACATATGTGCTTACAATGTATCTTGATTAGATTTACCCCCTCCATCATTCTCTCTCATCCCCTCTCTCCTGTTTGTTTAAGCAGGGTTGGCTACATGTTTTCAAGGCTGCCGTCAGTGTCACTGAAAGCTGTGGGCCCCTGTTCCATAGTCCTCCTTCACGGTCTAGGGTTTTAGTTCCCAGTAACATTATTCCAATTCTTTCCCCATTTCAAATGTAGACAAAGCACACACACAGCAGTGATAGTAAAAGTGCACAGGCAGCCATAGGTGATATATGGACAGACTTTATATTCATATTGTTAATGAACTATTTTTGGAAACAAAGTTCTCATGGGGTAGAATTGACTTTTTTTCAAACTGATACTAAGCCTTCACTTAGTATCATATAAAAATGCCTTCCAGGAAGACTAAGTGAAGACACCAGCGCAGATATTTACAGTGCTTAACAAGTACAGTAGGAAAGTGTCGCTCATCCTCCGTTCAGAAAGGAGGAGACTCCCTGAACTCTAGCGTGTTCCTTCAGGAACTGCTATAGCTGGATGGTTTGTTTTATAGCCTTCACTCCAGGGAGGATGCCCTGTTCGTTTCATTGTGTTGTTCGTGTTTGCAGACTATTAGGATTTGCTAGTTGCTGAAGGGTGTCCATTTACCACCTATTTATTATGCTGAGCGTACGGGCTGGTGAAGGATGCAGGGCATCATTGGTGTCCTGACTGTCTGAAACACCTTTAATCCAAAGATCTCAAAGCACTCTGCAGAAGTAGAAATCATTCAGCCCCAGTTGTAGTGTCACTTCCATTTAATGGTGGATGCTGGGGGTAAAATTGGAGCTTTTTTAACTTGCATAAAACATTGGCCTTGTTTTTGGTCATTTTCTTTAAAACCTTCATGAGACTGTCATTCTCTGGTAGGATTCAGAAGAATGGGATGTAATCATTCCCAACTTGTAAATTCACCCATGTTAGTTCTTGGAGTTGGTTAGCAGTGTTCCTGCAAATACCTTCCTTGAAAACAAAATTCATCTTTTCTTCAGAAAGGAGAGAATCTGACTTTGAACTGTGAATACTTTTTTTGTGTTTTACAGTGCTAGGATTTGAACTCAGGGCCTACACCTTGAGCCACTCCATCAGCCCTTTTTTGTGATGGGGTTTTTTCAAGATAGGGTTTCATGAACTATTTGTCCACAGCTGGCTTCGAACTACGATCCTCCTGATCTTTGCCTCCTGAGTAGCTAGGGTTACAAGTGTGAGCCACCAGCGCCCAGCTTGAATTGTGAATGCTTTTGAACTGTGAGCAGCATTGACTATGGTAATGGCAGTCAAGTGGAGTAGAAACCACATAACTCAGCTCACCTGCAAATAGTACTTTCAGATGTTAGATTACATTTGGAGTTGCATCCTTTGGTCTGGGTCAGCTGCAGTTTGCAATCCCTCAACATCTGCTGGGGTCCAAGGAGCAAGGCAAGTCCACCCGCCAGGCAACTTGTGCACACCAGATGAGCGTGTTCAGCTCTTCATGTGTCTTCCTTACTTCCAGGTCCTCAGGTGTTTCTCTTGACTCTTACCTGCAGGTTGTGGAGAGAAGGAGAACTCCAGCTGAGATCAGAGAAGAGTTTGAGCGACTGCAGAGAGAACGGGAAGAGAGGAGACTGCAGCAGCGAACCAACCCCAAGGTAGCCAGCGCCGTTTTAGGGAGGACCAGTTGAAAGTTTTACTGCTAAAGCCAGTTCAAAAATGATTAAATGGGGGACATTTTTAAAGTAATAACATACAAAATTGGGCGAATCAAAACCTCACTTATTTTATCTCAAAGTGACACCTTTTTGGAAGGTAGCTATCAGCAGAGCTGCTGCTGGTGACCTGGAGGCAAGCATTTCAGCTCACAGGAAGGAAGACAAGATCAATCCCCAGGTTTTCCCAGAAGCCGGGATTTCCCAAGCAGAAACTCAGGCTAGCTCCTAAGGCCTTCTCTTCCAACTATGCCTCCTAAATCCCTAGGTATTTAGTCAAAGTTTCTTGTATATTAGGTAGGATGTGAGGATCATTTCCAAAATTCGTTGAGCAGGGGCTTCTGCATTCTTTGCCCCAGAACATCAGTGTCATGACCACCAGTTACCAGGTTATCTAAGGTGACCTAAGTCCTTAGTACAATTTGAATTGTTTAACCCAGTGACACTACAGAGTCAGAGTTACTTTTCAGTCCCTTGTCCAATATCTTTTCCATCCATTTGCTGGGGAGATTGTTCTGAATGTGTGCCCCAGCCAGGTGGCAAGTATCTTAGTAAGTTTGAGATGCCAGTCATCCAGGATGGCTAATTGATTGTGGCCAACTGTGTTGAATAAGAGGACTCAACAGCTGGGCCCTATCAGTGTGGCCAGGATGGCCCAGCAGACAGCCTGTATCTGTCGTGATAGGAGCTAGTAGCCTCCCCAGCCCTTTCATTACCTCTTCTCAAAGGTTCCCATAATCTGTGTCAATTCAGCAGTGTTGTTGGAAGAAGAGAGAAAGCCATGTAAAGTAATATGCATCATTATTTTTCTTTAAATCTTCTAAAAAGAACAATGCCCAGTTTACACTGAGCATGAACCTCTGATAACATAAGAACCTCTGATCAAATTCATTCTAAAAGGTTTTATGGTTTTTTTGTTTGTTTTGCAATACTAGGGTTTAAACTTGGGACTTAGCCCTTAAGCCATTCCACCAGTCCTTTTTTGTGTTGGATATTTTTGAGATAGGTTCTCTTGAACTTATTTGCCCAGGCTGGCTTCAAACCTTGATTGTCCTGATCTCTGCCATCTAAGTAGCTAGGATTACAGGCGTGAGGCACCTGCACCCCGTATTCTAGAAGTTTTTAGAAGACCCTTAGAGCACCGTGGCTCTAAGATCTCAAGATCTGGATTCATATTCTGCCTTCCAGTCTGTTTGGTCAGCTTGCTCCTCCGGCCTCAGCCCACTTTCTCCCATGTGATACGGGAGATTTTCCAGAGGCCCACCATGCAGAGTTAAGTCTTTGGGCCACACAGTACCTAGTTCTCACTGTCTCTTGTTTTCTGCCTTTACTTTGCCCTGTGGAAATGAAAGTTCTATGTCTGTATTTCCTGTTGGAAAACACCAAACCCAGTTGCTGCTGGGGTCCCAGTGCCTCCAGGCCCTCCACAGTGAGCTTGTGTGGGGGAAGGAATTGGTAGCTGGACAGGCCATGGGTTTGTTGAACAGGACTGCTAATGCTGGAATCTGACTGACCACCTCCCCATCCTCCCTCCATGTTTGACTCTTTGTTTTATTTGTAGAACCCATCCACATTACTCACCTTTTAGAGACTGAGATCATATGCCACACAGTGGAGCTGGGCACATGTGCTGTGTTTACTTCATATTGTTTACTTTGATTCCTTCTTTTTTTAATGCCCATAAATCTCTCTGTGGACAGCAGCCATCTCAAGCTTCTTTAGAAGACCAGGCTCCGGCAACTCTTCTGACTGCTGCCTTGGTCATGGACTTGTTTGGATCCTTGTGCAGCAGAAGGTTCAGTTAGGAGTGCTTGGAGGCCTTAACTGGTGCCTCTTTTTGACCCTGTGACAAAATTGTTTCATGGAGATTGTTACATTGTTTCCTGGCGCATTCCATTCTTTCCATATTACACAGGTTGATATGAATTCCTTTCTGATTTTAGAAAGGCTCTATTATCAGTGCGGTTCACAAAATAGCTTAGAAACATAACTCAGCTTTATCAGAAAAAAAATTCTAATAGTACATCAAGGAAGATATATAACCATAAAAATATTTTAAAATCCCAACGTGTTCTCATAAAGATAGATGAGTACATTGCTCACTTGTTTTTAAAGAATTTTTTTAGATTGTTTTTGGTTGCCATGGGTAATGATTACACCCATCTGAATGAGCCTGTGGTTATGACTTCAGTCTGTTCTGTGAAAGTGATTCTGATATCATAAAACTGGCTCCACTTGGCTGCAGGAGAAAAGCCATTTGAACCCATATGTTTGTTGTGCTCGTGGCAGGAAAGGGCAATTTACCATATGCAGAAATAGGATGCTACTAAAGTGGGGATGCTGTCATATAGGAGAGGGGACTGGGCCTGGCTGATCAGTCTGGAACTGCTGTAATGAAGGACAGATAAAAAGCTGCTTGTCCTTAAGTATCAGTTGGGGGGCTGCTCCACCCACCGTGTCTGCATGATCACCTACCCACCAGATTTCAGAATTCAAGACCAGTGCTGTGGGGCTGGCAGGGCAGGCCGTGCGGGTGGGCCAGGCAGTTCTTGAATTTGGTTTGAGTTTGAGCCTCCATGGGATTGGAAAGTACAGGTTCTGACTTTCATCTCAGGTAAAAGATACTGTGAAAGCTGTCATCCCCACAGCCATCCTGAGTTCATCAGTGACAAAATGGCAAATTTCACTATGCCTCTTGTTGCCTCTTTTGGGGGAATTTTCAGTTACTGTTGATTTTGCATTTGTCAGAAATTTCTCATGCTATCCTTATGGCCAGATACAGAAATACAAACATAAAAATAATTCGGATGCATTAATGAGTTTGAGTGTGATGCACAGTGTGGAAGTTGGAGTGGTTCATTCCTGGCTGGATGAACAACTGACTGCTCAGAGATTGACTTCCTGCCTGTGGGAGGAAGACTACTCATGGAGCAAGCTCTGTTAGTGAGGTGCTTATTACATCCACAGGTGACCCCCAGGCAGAAGGACAAAACCAACATCCAAAAAACTACAAAATAAAATTTAAACCTGGGCGACAGTCATCCTAGCCACTTGGGAGGCTGCAATTGGGAGGATCATGGTTTGAGGCCCGCCTGGGCAAATAGCTGGAGAGATTCCCCATCTCCAAAATAACCAGAGCAAAATGGACTGGAGGTGTGACTCAAGCAGTAGAGTACCTGCTTTGCAAGCGCAAAGCCCTGAGTTTAAACCCCAGTTCCACCAAATTAATTAATTAAAATAAATAAAAACATATAAATAAAATTTAATGTGGGTAAATGTGCTAGCCTAGAAAAACGTGGGTGGAAGAGAATGGTAGTCTTTGACTCTCTGGCTTCATATTAACATCAAATCAGTATGTTTTGTGGGTTGTGATGGGTAAGAGGGGTGACTTACTCACGAAGTAATTTAAATTGGGTGCCTATAGCCTACCAGGCACTATTTGAAACATGAACACAGCACAGAATAAAACAGATAAAACCCAGCCCTCTGGAAGCTTAGCATTCCAGGTGAGGGGTAGATAATATGCGATAAACATACACATAAATTACATTTTAAATGCTATGGGGCCAGGTAGCAGTGGCTCACGCCTGTAATCCTAACTACTCAGGAGGCAGAGATCAGGAAGATGGTGGTTGGAAGCCAACCCTGGACAACAGTTCATGAGACCCACCACAGAAAAAGAGTTTTTTTTCTGTGGGTCAAATGGTAGAACACCTGCCTAGCAAGTGTGAGGCCCTGAATTCAAACAGCAGCTCTGCCAAAAATAATAATAATAATAAAACTATGTGGGAAATAGAACAAGGTAAGGGTATGACTGCAATTTTAAATAGAATAGTCAGGTCTTACTAAGAAAATAACACTGGAACAAAGACAAGAAGGTGATGCTAGGGGGGAGCCAGTACAAAGGCCAGAGGGGTCATGGGACTGTGTCAAGAAGAGCAGAGACCAGAGGCCAGGTGTGGTGTCACATATCTGTAATCCCAGCATAAATGGCTGAGACAAAAGGATTAGAATTTGAGACCAGCCTATATTACATAGTGAGACCCCACGTCAAAGAACAAAGCTAAAACAGCAGGGTTCGATGTGTCTGGGACACTGCTGGAGGAAATGGGGAGGGCTGAAATCGAAGAAGTGCATTTTCCCTTGAGCTCAGGTGAACAGCTTATCATCACTGGCTCCCTACTTGTACTCTTCCAAAATTCTGTGTTTCATGAAGCTGTGACTCATTCGTTCTCCTTGCTGTAGTCGCCGTGTGAGTATACCACAGATTACCTTCTCCCCTAGATACACCCTAGATATTTATATTGTTTCCAGGGTTTGCTATTCTGAATGTGGTTGCTATAAACACTCCCTCTCTTATCTCCTTGTACAAGACTCTCTGGGGTTCAAGTGTAGCTATTTGTGTACATGTACATCTACCCAAACACCACACACCTGTATGTCAGGTTGCTGGGGCATGAAGTTTTCAAATGTTCATCTGTGAAAGATGTTATAAGATTGTTGTCCAAAGGTAAAACGTTGACTTTACATGACTTAAATGTCTTGATTATATCTTTATACTTAATGATAAGTATAAGTTTGTGTGTGTAGAAAAACAAACACATTTTTATAAAGTGTATCTTTAACTTAACATTAGGTGTAGTTAATAATAAAACTTTCTGGATTTTATCTTTTTTAGACCTAAAAAGGTAATGACTTTATATAATTCAACTGGAATGTGAGAAGCTGACTGCATTTCACATTCCAATTTAAAAACCCTTTCCCCTTGTCCAGAATTGTTACAGAGGAGACAGGTACTGAGTCCTAATTCCTTGCACGTGGGTTAATGCACCCTTTCCACCTGGAATTTGAATTCTTCAGCCTAAAAAGTTTCTTTCTATTCTCTTTTTCTTTTTTTGCCTCCTTTTCTTTCTGTCTCAATTATTTTTTATTCCTTTTGGACT